CTCTCATAAAACATCTGCTGCTAACATACCTCACAAGAGGCCCCAGTTTCCTCTACCTTCCCAGAACCAGGCACATGCATCGCAGTCTTTTTGGGAATATCCAGTTTTGCGGTTCAATGGGTGATATAAATATTACAGATCAGAAACCCTTTCTTTGGGGTGCACAGTTTGGGGAAGTTGGGTCTCCTTCAGTCTCGTTGCCCAGATAAGACACCTGGGGGCTGATATCACCCCTCTTCTTATTTGCATTTAAGTTCAAATTATGGGATCATTGCAGAAGAGAAATATATTTGCTGCACTTGCATTTTGCATTCAGGATTAACACGGAAAAGACTGTGGGTCAAAGATAGGGTGCTGTGCGTGGGGCCCTCTGTGTGGAAGTGAGGACAACACAATCGACTTGCAGTTAAATCGAAAGAATGAAGTTTAGGGCAGAAATCCTAGAGCTGGGGCCTTGGGGCAACTGTCATAAGGAAAAAGGACCCTCAAGAGGCCGTAACTGGAGAAGACAGTTAAAGAAACAAGGGTGCGGGAAGATCTGGTGGCCTGCTTAGTTGTTGTTCCTCTCCTAACTGTCCAGTTGTCACTTCGATGATCACCCACTCCTTGGAAAACTCCAAAGCCTCTGCCTGTCCAGAGAAAGACCATCTGCTGCCCATGCCCCTGGACAGAAAATACCCCCAAACCACCTCCCACAACGCACCAAGGAAGGGGGGCCTGCAAGGAGAAACAGACTTAAAGGTGAGTCAGGATTCATACTGAGAAAGGACTAAACCCAAAAAGCAAGGGAAAGGGTAAAGCCAACCAGGAAGCCACTGACCAACCCCAAAGTGGATGAGGGGCATCTGACCTCTATATTGTGCCTATAAACTTTAACCCAGAGAGGTTCTCAGTGTCTGTGGCAAAGGAGTAGCTGCTGCTGTTGCTGCTAAGTCACTTTAGTCGTGTCCGACTCTGTGCGACCCCATAGATGGCAGCCCATCGGGCTCCCCCGTCCCTGGGATTCTCCAGGCAAGAACACTGGAGTGGGTTGCCATTTCCTTCTCCAATGCATGAAAGTGAAAAGTGAAAGTGAAGTCACTCAGTCGTGTCCGACTCTTAGCGACCTCATGGACTGCAGTCTACCAGGCTCCTCTGTCCTAGCTAATGTACCACAAAACAGAAATCAAACTGGGGGGAAACATACTGACAACACCCCCAGAATGCACCACACTTGATCTTGCTCACAGAAAGCATTTTAGCTCCAGAAACTGAAAAACCAGGATTTCCCTGGTGGTCCAGTGGCTAAGACTCTGTGTTCCTAATGCAGTTCAATCCCTGATCAGAGAACTAGATCCCACATGCTGCAACTAAGACCCAGCAGAGCCAAATAAATATTTAAAAAAAAGAAGAAGTTGAAAAATGGTAAAGGTATCAAATGCCATCTGATAGATATGTCCTTTGTTCTGATTCCAATGCCAGAGAGTGTAACAACCAATTTATCAACCACTTGAATTCAGGGTCACTCAGTGGAAAACCAGAGCAAACACCAAAGTGTGCAAGTAGGTTCAGACACAGGCTCAGGATGCACCCAAGTGATGGTGGTTTTTATAGGAGCTAATCCAAAAAGAGCATGGAAAAGATACTACCACATCTCTGTATGCAGTCAGGTGAGTCCATACAGACCCCTCAATCTTGTATATCAGCTCTAAACACCGGGAAAGACTCTCCGTCGGAGGCTCAGGCAGAGAAGGGCATGCCATTCAGACTGGATAGTGCATTTGGGTTATTTTAGTTCTTTCCTTGTGCTAGCCATACAACTGAGGCTACTGCAGGCAGACGACGAACTTGATCTTTTTTTTTTTTTTTAACAAGTCTTAAGTGCCTGATTTCTCCTCTCTGAGGATGGCTATATCGGTTGAAAAGATGGAGTAAAGGACATGCCTCAGATCACATAGCATCAGGTAGTTCATCAAAGCAGATTTATTAGAGATGCAAGACCAAGTGCCCAGAGGACACGTGAGTGGTTGCTAGTATCAAAACCACCAACATGGAAGTGAGTGGGAAAAGATTCCCTATGTCATTTACAAGGATGTGGGGGTGGGCTGGGAGAAGTATGTGCTTTCTTTGTGCAATGGCCTCATCAACATTCGTCAATCTAATACAAATACAATAGAACAATGTACAATAACAATGTACACCAATAAAACCAACCTCCACTGCTACAAATCCTTCATGTTTAAAGTCATCCTCCCCAACTGTACCGCTGTATGAAGCTAATTCACTAACTTTACAGAAGAGGATTCAGGCCTGTGGAGAAAACTGGGGACCCTCAGCCAGATGTGGGGGGACAAGTTAAAATCTCTACTCCAGATTTGCATTGCCAGGCAACCTGGTCATCCCGGTCAGCCCAGGGGGACCCAGCATCCCACAAAATTATAAACAGTGTAAATATATCTATGAGGGAGGAAATGGCAACACATTCCAGTATTCGTGCCTGGAAAATCCCATGGATAGAGGAGCCTGGCAGGCTACAGTCCATGGGGTTGCAAAGAGTTGGACACAACTGCGCACACAGGAGGTTTTATTTCTTCTCTGGGTAACCACTTTTTTGAACTCAAAAGAATCACAGTTTTACAATTATTTTAACTTGTATTTGTATTATTTTAAAATATAGCAGCTTTTTAAAATCAAGCCAGTTGATTTTGTAATAATAAATGTCCACATTTTAAAACTAAAAAAAAAGAGAGACTGTAAATATATCTAAATGGAGAATTCCACTTCGGCTTATGATCAGCTTTCCACCTGATGGACCACATATACAAGGAACCAAAAAACAAAACCAAGTATCTTTACCAATCTAGTTAAATGTGAAAAATCCAAACAATGGTCATTAATAATAATTAAACACTTATATTAACAGGAACTTTGAATGAGCCAGGTACTAGGTGCTTTAGATAACTGTTGCAACAAAACTTTGTGACAGGTTGTATTACTCCCATTTCACAGATGGAGAAACCAAGGCACGGTAGCATTAAGTCAGTACTACGTACTGGGTTGGTATTCAAATCCAGCAATCTGTTTGGAGGCCATGTTTTAAACCCAAGCACTGAGCTACCCAAAACCCGAGCCAGGGAGACCAGCATAGTTGTAGGTAGGGTTCTGCAAACCCCGAGGCTGACCTCAGATGCCTTTACACTGAGGCCTGGGGGGCTTTTTATAGACTCAACTGAATTGATATTAGCAGCTAGTGGTGACATCGGTTAGTCCCCACTCTCTCAAATGTTTATGAATCACTTGGCAGAGTGAACCATGTTATTCTAAGTCCCTAGGGCAGGGAGAGTGTGTGTGCATGTGAACGGTAGGGGCAAGAGTATGTGCATGTGAGTGGTAGGGGCAAGAGGGGAGGGTGTTACAGTGGTTTTCCAGAGTTGGAACATTCTGGGCCCAAGGCCTGTATTTCTGTCACTCTAGGATGCATGAACTTGGGGAATTTAAGTGTCAGTGTTTCCACCTGTAAAATGGGGATCACCTTAGTTCCTGATTTTATGGGTTTAATTCATACAAGATAGTCAGAATCTATTTACATAACGATCATCATGGCTGGAGGATTAAAAATTCCACTGATAAGAACTTTCCTTAGTCATATTCTGAGACTCTGCTCACCACAAACGCTCTACAAGCCAAGTGCACTCAGCAGAGAATAAGCCTTCTGATACCAACAACACATGGCTGTCAATGAGTTTCACAGTTAATACTAACAGGATTTCCTCACTTTAGTAATCTTTTCTTTGCAAAAGTTTTCCTGGTTCTTAAAAGTGTTTAATGTTTGCTAGTCAACTAAATATTGATGTTTCTAGTAGGGAATTTCTAAAACAAACACACAGTTGTGTTTTTTTTTTTAAGTTCTCTAATCAATCTGTGACAGATTTAGAATGTAACTCTCCAATCTGGGCCTTTGCCCCTGCCCTTTGATAATATGCTTCATCACATGGCTGGATTTTGAGAACCAGTTCCCTCTTTACAGACATGGGAACTGGTGCCTGCAGGTGGTAAAGAAGGATCAGTGGGACCAGTCCAGGGGCTGGCCAACCAAGCCAGCTTCTCCTATGAACTTGAGGAGGCAGTAAAACAAACTTCACGGTAAGGAAAGTGAACGTATTGTGTCGTTTTCTGTTTCTGAATAGAATCTGAACTAGGTTGTGGCCAACATATGACACCGACTTCCGAGTGTGGGAATAACAGGATTTCAAGATTCATGGCTTCTGGCAGCGTGCCTTAGGTTATATTTAGAAATCTTAAATTGCCGATTTTTTTTCTTTTCCCTTTTTCTTCTCTTTCTATTTTTTTCTTCCTTTCTTTTATTATTATTTAAGAAAAGATCAAGAGGAAGAGCTCGGGCCTAAAGGGTGTGAGTTTCATGACCTGCGGCTCTTAAACAGGCAGACCACCCACCCCAAGGCCGGGAATATTAAGTAGGCGCCCCGTGCGGGTGAAACACACACTTTGGGGGCTGTGTCGGCAAACGCCGGGCCCCTACAAGTTCTCATTCGCGTGCTCTGACGATCCAGCCAGACAAAGACCGCAAGTTCTCCGGACCAAAGATTCAGACAGCCAGAGACCGCGTCTCCTCGAATTAGGCCCACACTCCCTGCCCGGGGAGCCAGAACCCACCGCGGAGGGGGTCCCCAGAGAGCTCCCCGCGTGATCCTGCCGCCCCACTCCTGCTCTGGCCCTGCACGCACTCTCTGCGCTGCGGCCAGACCCCGGCCCCTCCCGGGCCCCGCGGCTGCAGGCCCACGCGTCCCGCGCGCCCCCACCCCGTCCCGCCGAGGCCTCCGGCCCCGGGACTTTGCCCCAGAGGGAAGCCCCGCGACCCCGGAGTGAAGCCAGGACCCTTGGGACGTCCCACGTGCGCGCTCGCCCTCTCTGTCCACCCTCTGCTTTTGTTTTTACCATTTTGAGATAGGAAGAGAACAACACCCACCAGGAGGCCACAGGGCATCCCTCTCCCGCCTTGAATTCTTCGCAAGAACCCCGGGAAGGGGGTACTGAGCCCCCCAGGTCTGGAGATGGACAGGCAGGCACTAGGCGGGGGCTCGGTCCCTGAAGGTGCGGCTGGTCCGGACCCCGTCGCGCCCCCGCCTCTTCCTTCCATCCTCAGGACACTTGGCCGTCCCATGTCCCCGGCTTCCCGGGTGCCCTGCGCGAGCCCCTGGGGCGCCAGAGTGGCCGGTAGGACACACGTTGACACGGTTGTCACTTTACAGAACTGAGTCGGGCGGGGTAGAGTTCGGACTTAGAGATGGAGAATATGTGTATTTATCCTTTAATACATTTACAGAGTTAAATATTCTGTGTTTCCAGTGTACACAAACGGCACAAAGGCCTCCGGCCCCGCAAGCCCGGCGCGTGGTCCTTGCCCGCCGGATGTTGACGGCGTCGCATAGCAACTGGAGATGGCGGAGCCTGGCGGCGGCGCTGGCGGGTAAACGGGCCTAGGGTTCTGGGGCCTCGGAACTGCCCCCACACCTCCCGCTTCCTATAGCCCCCTAGGCACCCCTTCCCTTCCATGCCCTTTCCCCCTCTCCTCTACCCCTGCCTCCCCACTTTCCAGGCTTTTCCTGACCTCCCCGGTCACCCCCACATTCCTGCACGCCCTTCTGCCTTCTCACCTCGCGTCCCTTTGTCCTCTCCCGTACCCTCCCTTTTTCCCCTTTTCTGGGCGCTCCTTTCTCTGAAACCCGGGACTTGCTCAGTCCACAGTAACCATGGCAACCACGATGCTTGGTAATCCCTGCTGTAGAGCCCTGAGAGCAGGGGTCTCTGTGCTGGACGCTTCCCAGCGAGGTCAGTGAGAGGGAGACCAGCCCAACCTCCCCGGGGTTGGAGGTGGCAGGTGATGGACTGGGTTCGGTATGGCCAGGCAGCCCCACCGTGAATGCCTTGAGCACACAGATAGGCTGTAGTCAGGTAAACACAGGGCCACCCGGCCTCTGCTCTCCTACACTTTGTTTAAAAGGATAGAGTCTATTTTAAAAATTTACCTTTCACGTTGGACACCGCTGTATTGTTTCTTTCTTCTTTTTTTTTAAGGTAGGTCTGCATCTACTGACATGGAAAAGTTCAGATACAATAAATGAAAAGACTAAATGCAAAACAGTGTATATAGTGTGATCTCTAATTTGGTGGATGGGTGGTTTACATGCACAGAAAGATATTTGAAAGAAGATATCCTTGGGACTTCCCTCGTGGTCCAGTGGCTAAGGCTCTATGTTCTCAAAGCAGGGAGCCTAGGTTCCATCCCTGGTCAGGGAACTAGACCTCACATGCCACAAATAAGAGTTGGAATGCCACAACTAAAAAGAGCCCATGTGCCACAACTAAGATCTAGCACAGCCAAATAAATATCTAAAAAATAAAAATAATACATAAAAAGATATCCTTAAATCTATTACTACTACATCTTGTTATCTTGAGCAAGAGAGAAGTCACAGGGGATTTTCATTGTTTGTGTCACATATTGCTGTATTAGTTTGACTTTTAATTAGAAAAAAAAAGCAATTTTAAGAATGTGACATTCTTGTACTATCCAAATCATGAGGAAACTAAAAGTTTCTGGAATATTTGTCCTTTTTGTGCAATTTTCTCTTGTTTTTTATTTTCCCCATTTTGTCACAAACACAAGTATATTTAAGGTGACTTTTCTAGCATAATCTACTTGTACTGTTCCTTAAATGTTTCAATCATTGCATTTTTCATTCATTCTTGGAGTGATTCTTGTGCCATGCGACAAGCATGATCTAGTGCTGGTGTTAGTGACAAAGTGATGGCCATCAGCCTAGAGAGAAGGCAGACAATCAACAGTAAACATAATAACTAGATATACAGACAATGAGGCGGGGATAAATGCCAAGAAAAAGAAAGATGTTATTTGAAACTGTTCAATTGTTTCTCCCCCACCAGGTCTCACTTGGGAGGCAAATCTTCTGAAGGAGAAGAGGACCAGAATGTTGAAGCCGGCAGGGTAAATAAAGTTCCTGATGGGATGAATTAGTCTAGGCTGTATTTACTAGGAATTAGAGTTCAGATTTGTTTAAGAAAATTGCACAATGATACTGTGACCTTGCTCTGGAACAGACTCAGTTCAGTTGCAGAGAAACTTAATTTCTTTCCACCTCCTTCTGAAGTGTTGATGGCTCATCAAGAATGCCTTGGATATCCCACACCTAGGTCACCCTGAGTTTTTCAGAGCTCATTTCCTGTAACGAAGGATGCAAAGTAATTACCAAAAAAAACAGAGCAGATAAGCTAAACTATGAAACATAATCTCCTAGCAATGCTCAGAGTGTATAGATGCAGTTTTCCCATCAGTTCAGTTCAGTTCAGTCGCTCAGTCGTGTCTGACTCTGTGACCCCATGAATCGCAGCACGCCAGGCCTCCCTGTCCATCACCAACTCCCGGAGTTTACTCAAACTCATGCCCATTGAGTTGGTGATGTTATCCAGCCATCTCATCCTCTGTCGCCCCCTTCTCCTCCCACCCCCAATCCCTCCCAGCATCAGGGTCTTTTCCAATGAGTCAGCTCTTGCATGAGGTGGCCAAAGTATTGGAGTTTCAGCTTTAGCATCAGTCCTTCCAATGAATACCCAGGACTGATCTCCTTTAGGATGGGCTGGTTGGACCTCCTTGTAGTCCAAGGGACTCTCAAGAG